TCCCAGTCTTCCCCTCTGTAGGCCTATCCTTTCCTAGAACCCAGGTGTCTGCTTCCCCCAGCCCCTCTTTCCCCCCAGAGCATGCGACTGAAGCTCATCGCCAGCAACAGCACCATGGAACGCAAGTTCAGCCCCTGGATTGGAGGCTCCATCTTGGCCTCGTTGGTAAGAGGGAAGGGGCCTAGTCTAGAGCTGAATGCAGGGAAGAGGCAAACCCAGGCAGCCCCCACTGCTATGCTTGCCTCCTTGTTCATTCATTCATTCACCCAACAAATGTTTGCTTTTAGACAGAGCAGAAGAATTAATGCTCAGTCAGGAAGCAAAGAACAGAGGGCAGGGACATGGCAAGATTAGTTGGGCTAAGATGGAGATGACCTGGAGCGTCAGAGTGAGGCACCCACTGTGCTTGCTTAGCAGAGGGGAGACACTGAAGGTCAGAGGCTGGGAGAGATGTGATGATCACGGGCATGAGTCTTTGGGATCCAGATGTGAGCTGGAAAGGAGGCTTTGTCTAGAGTCCCAGAGTGGAATGGAGTGGAGAGCAAGGGGCAAAGAGAAAAAGGAGGCAGGGAAGTTGGTTTGGGGGCACTGGGTGGTGAGAGCAGTCTGGATCTGCTGCTGGAATAAGGCAAGATGTCAAGCAGGGAACTAGACTTGCAAACTGATTGGCAGGCGTCAGTCGCACAGAGGAGATAGTGGGACCATGACACAAGGAAGGACCCAAGGAGACAGAAGTGAGGATGAGAACGTTAGGAGACTGGCATGTGGACTTAGCTCACAGGGTTACTCCTGCATGCTTGAAGAAGACAACGTAACACAGTCCCACCCTCGCGAACGGGCAGCCTCCATCATGACAATTGAACAGGAAGTCACCATAAAGTGTGAGAGCATTTCTTCAGAGGAAGGGCAGGACACAGGGACCTCATCTAGTTTGGAGATGAGGACAACTGGCAATTAAGCCAAGAGGGAAAGAGTAAGCGCACATGAGGTCAAGAAGAAGAGAGGGCTCAGATTGTTGGGGGTGAATTCCGGCAAGGCCCACAGGCAACGCGGAGCCACGTTGGATCTGGGTTTAGAAAGTTCATTTGGCTATGTGTGGCGTGGAAGGTGAATTGAAGGGAGCCAGATGTACGGAGGGAGAGGATGCCGTGGTGGGTGGGGGCTGGGTGAGTCTGAAAGGTGGGTGTCAGTGGGTAGAACTGGGAGCTCATCAGGTGACATACTGACAAAAGGTGGACACTGCTTTACTATGAGAGAAGGAAGGCAGTGAGGAGACACAGAATGACAGTTTATGGTAGGGGCTAGGGCAGTGGTGTCCAACACGTAATATGAGCCACATGTTGCTGTTGTTAAATACGGTTGAAGTCGAGTCATTTCTGACTCACAGCGACCCTGTATAAGGTTTCCAAGGAGCAGCTGGTGAGTTTGAACCGCTGACCTTGTGGTCCAACACTTATCCACAGCACCACACCAGGTCTCCTCGAGCCACATAGGTCATTTAACATTTTCTAGTAGCAATATTTTTAAAGAATTTTTTTTTTAATCAGTGAAATCAAGTTTTAATAATATATTTATCTGATCCGATATGTTCAAAATATTTCAATATGTGATCACTACAAAAATTATTAATGATCTATTTTACACTCTTTCTCTCTGTATTTAGTCTTCAAAATCTGGTGTTTATTTCATAGTCAAGTACTCAGTAGTCACATGTGGTCATCATAATGGGCAGTCCAGGGCTAGAAGGTGAAAACAATCAAAGATGAAGCAGATTTGGGTAGGGTCTGGAGGGAAGATGGTGAACTCAGTTGTGGATGTATTTGGGGTCTAGAATTTAGCACAGAGAGATCTAGACTAGAAAGAAAAGCTTGGGAATGAGTCGGGGTTAGTGCATGAGGTGAAGACACAGATGGGTAAGATGGACCAGAAAGTGTGTTCCACGGGCTGAGAAAAGAAACAGGGGCAGAAGCCAGGGACACTCAGTAGTAACCTTCAGGCAGAGATAGAGCAACCATCAGAGAAGGGACAATCTGCAATGTCTAGAAAGTTTCCTCAGGGTGGGAGTGAGGAATTTGAGTGAAACCAACTCCCTCCAGATGTTGGGTGGCCTTAGAACAAGCAGAGTGAGGAAAGATTTTTCTTTGGAATGAGGGGAGCTTGATGTGCTTGTGAAAGCTGATGGAACAATGAAGAGGGGAGACCGAGTCAAGGAGAAATGAGGGAGGCTCTGGGGTGTGGATTGGCTGACCTGGGATTGTAAACTCTACCACTTAGCTGTAGGGACTGTACCAGGTCCAAGGTAGCTGGTGGAGGTGGTGGTTGTCAGCCATCTAGTCAGTTCTGACTCATTTCCATCCTATATGGAGTTTCTGAGGCTGTACATCTTAAGGAGAGCAGAAAGCCGTATCTTTCTCCTACAGAGTGGCTGGTACATTCAAACAGCTGACCCACTATGCTACCAGGACCTCCTTCCAAAGCAATTGCTGTTGTGAAGTGCTGTCGATTTGGTTCCAACTCATGGCCACCCTGTATAGGGTTTCCGAGGAGCAGCTGCTGGGTTTGAACTGTCAACCTTGCAGTTCAAACCACCTTGTGGTCCAGGGCTTATCCTACAGAAACGAAGCAATTAGGGACCCCCAAAATATTTGTTGAATGAATGAATCATTGATTGTAAGAAATGCGGGGGATATTCTCCCTCTGAGTACGAAACAGGATCCCAAAGGATGGGGTGGAAGAAGCTTGGCAGCTAAGTTGGGGGGAAGATGTGGGCCTGAGAGGCGATAAAGGACGAGAGGGGAGGACTTTCCAGGGTCCCCTGACCGCGTGTCCCCCCCACCCCACCCCACCCCACCCAGGGCACTTTCCAGCAGATGTGGATCTCCAAGCAAGAATATGAAGAGGGCGGGAAGCAGTGCGTGGAGAGGAAGTGCCCATGAGGACAGCCCCTCCCCAGAGGGGCAGAGAGGGAGACCCCACCGCGCAAATGCAAATCCGAGCCCCACAGCCTTCCAAGCCCCTCTCCTCTTTCCCTTCCCCCTCGTCCTTTAAACTGTGACGTTTCTGGGTTGAAGAGTAAAAATGTTTTAAGAAAAAAAATTAAGTTTGTCTTCCTTGGTGCAGAGAGTGGGAGTAGAGGCCTGGCGGGCACAGAGTGGGAGTAGAATGAAAAGGGGCCATATCTAGGGGTTCCGAGCCTGGGAGGAGGCCTGGTGTGGCTAATTCGTCAGACTTCAAAGTCGTTTGAACTGCAAGGTCGGTGGTTCAAGCTCACCAGCTACTCCTTGGAATCCCTATACAGGGTTGTTATGGGTCAGAATCGACTCGACAGCACTTAACAACAACAACAAGGAACCTGGGAGCGTCACCCACTCAAGAGCCGAGTTGGGGCGGGTGGGTAGCCCGCTGCTGCAGAGAAGATGCTGGGGCAGGGGCGGGGTCGAGAGGAGGGCCAGCCCTGAGGGGCGGGGAATAGGCAGACCTGGAGGCGGGGCCTTTGCTCCGGCCTCGCCATTCAGGAGAGGCCTCGCGGTAGCCCTCCCGGACCAGCAGAAGCAGCACAGGTGAGCCATCGCATCGCTGCTGTCTCCCTGCCCGAGGCTCGTGGTGAGGACAGAAATAGGGTGGGAATTGGAGGCACTAGTGCGCTCCGGCAACTCGGTACTTCTCTCTAGACCCGGGTAGCTCAGCTACTTCAAATCTTCGTTCTAGGGTCCTTGGCGGGGTCTTAGGGACTGTGCCCCATACCTGAGATTTTGTAGGTGAAATTTAGTGGTTTCTTCCTGTATGTGTTTCTGGGGTGAGGGTCTTTTTCATCAGACCCTCATAGCGCCCAAGATCCAAAAGAAGTAGCTACCTATGGCTGGTGGCTGTGTGCCGTGGAGTCGGTTCTGTCTCATAGAGACCTTGTACAGGGTTTCTGAGGCTGTAAACCTTTACCGGAGCAGAACGGCTCATGTTTCTCCCGCGGAACAGCTGGTAGTTTTGAACTGCTGACCTTGCGATTAGCAGCCCGATTCATAACCACTGCGCTACCAAAGCTCCTTGTTGTTGTTGTTGTTAAGTGCCGTCGAGTCGGCTCCGACCCATAGCGACCCTGTACAGGGTTTCCGAGGCTATAAATCTTTACGGGAGCAGAAAGCCTCATCTTTCTCCCGCGGAGCAGCTGGTAGTTTCGAACTGATGACCTTGAGGTTCGTAACCACTACCAGAGCTCCTTAGCCACCTATAATGTGACCTAATTCTTGCCACCAAGAGGAGCTGGTGCTCAGGAAGGGTCGGGACTTGTCCAAGCTAACCCACTTCTGCCTGCACCTTGGCCAGGCCTCTTTTCACCACACTCCATGCCTCATAGGCCCTGACCCACAAATCCCCGACTTTAGGACCACCAATCCTGGAGCATTGCGCCCTACCGTATCTGTACTTCCCCCTTCCCCAGCAGTTAGCAGGAGACAGACATCCACATGGTCAGACCTCAACCCCCAACTCCACCACTGGGCAGGCACCCAAAGTGGGGAGGAGTGTGCAAATCAGATGAGGCTGGGGGCAGAGGTCTTCATGGTGGATCTTCCAGGGGATTGTGGGAGCTTAGAAAGGGGTCTCCAAGGACACTGGGAATGATAGAAATAGCAAAGAGGAGGGGGACATCCTCATGCTCCCTCCCCAGCCACCAGCTTCCCTCCCCCACTCATGATGGGAACTCAGAGGCCAAAGTCTGCCCCAAGGTCAAAAAATTGATTGATTGCTTTGCAGGGAAGGGGCAGGAGCGGCAGGAGAGGAGGGATTGGCCGGAAGGCACAGCCTCTGCTACTTTCGCCTGGGCTGGGGGACCATATCTGGAAGGTTGGGCTGAGGTCAGGATTTCCCCCCACCCTTGGGGGGTGGGGAATGGCCAGGGTTCAGGCTCCCTGCCTGGGCTGATAAGGACCTTGCTGGGGCTCCCACAAACGGTTTATCACTTTGTGTGGGGGGGCAGCCTACAGGCCTCAGGAAGAGGCAAGAGCATGGAGCGGCTTCGGGGTCTACTTCAGAGAGCGGTAAGACCTAGTGGGGTTGGGGGACACCTTAGGTCTTCTTACCAGGTCCCTCAGCCCACCCCCCACCCCCAATCCCTCTGGCTGGCCCTCTTGGCCAATGCCCAGGTTTCTCCCTGGTAGCCTCTGGCTCTGCCTCTCAGATCCTTTCTCCCTACCCTGTGCGCATTTGGCACCCTAAGGCTGCTGATCCATTCTTGCCAGATTCCTCCCCATCTCCCAGACCTCTTCCTCCAGTCTCAAGCCCTCTCCCCCAATCCCCCCCGCCCAGCAAGAGTTGTCCCTAGGAACTTCTCAGACCATCTACGAGCGTGTTGAAGGCACCCAGGGGCAGGGGCGCCTGGAGGAAGAAGAGGGAGACGGGGAGGAGGGTTCCGAAATTCCGGCCCACTTCTGCCCAATGGAGCTGAGGAGCCCGGAACCCCAGGGCTCTAGACCAAGACAGCAAAACCTCAGACCCTGGGTGGCAGCAGGACGAAGGGCCACCCCCTCCCTGGTTCTGACAGCCCTGCTGATCTTCACTGGGGGTGAGAGCAAAGGGTCTGGGCTGGGGAGATTGCTGGGGTCTAGAGGGGACCCAAGAGTAATCTCCATCTCGCTACCCACCAGCCTTCCTTCTGGGCTATGTGGCCTTTCGAGGGTCCTGCCAGGCATGCGGAGATGCTGTGTTGCTGGTCAACGACGATGTCAGCTATGAGCTGGGTCCTGACTCCCACCAGGGTCCACTGTATTGGCGTGACCTCCAAGCCATGTTCCTGAGGTTCCTGGGGGAAGGGCACCTGGAGGACACCATCAGGTAAGAACATACCTGTCCCTTTCCTGGCCCTCAAATGTCCTCCCTGCCTCTGCTCAGGCCCAGTCTTCCCTTCCTCCTCTCCTCAAATCCTGGTGCCTGGGCCCCTTTTCCAAGCCCTTCCACCTGTCTCCTTATTCTTTGGTCCTGGGAAGAATGACAAGCATCTGGAGCTGAGAGGAGGAAGGGTGGGCATAGGGGTGAGGCTCCAGGGGGCGCAGGCTCTGAAGACAGGGTGATTTGGGAGAAGAGAGAACTATCTGAATTTAAGAATAGAAGGGCCCTGCATCCAGACAGCCGTACAGCCATATAGAAGTAGACATGGATTGTGAATGGTGGTAGGTGGGAGCTCTGAAAAGGGCAGTTTAGGGAATCCAAAACAAAAGCAAGCAAATGCATCTGTGGACACACACCATTCTGCCTGCAGCTACATCATTGGGGTGTCAGCTGAACAGAGACTGAACTGAGGGGGCTTGCAGCACACAGTCCGAGCAGCTGATGCTGGGAAGGAGCTGCCCAGATACGTCCAAAGGTTCAGCCCACTCACAGACCTCTGTTGGCTCAGGAATAGTTTTTCAGTGAATTCTCCTGGGTTTTCTCAGTAGATAATCACGTAAGCTACAACAATCAGATCTAGAACCGATCATGAGAATGGCAGAGGACAAGACAGCATTTTGCTCTGCTGTTAATGGGGTCACCATGAATGGTAGTGACAGGTTGAAGGCTGACTCAATGGCAGATAACAGCAACACAGTCAGAGAAGCATGTGTTCTTTTCCAGTGTTCACACCGTCTATGTCTTCTGCGTTTCTTATTGCATCGGAAAGGACGTGAATGAATGTAATGTTGATAGTAGTGTTCGTGTCTATTTCCTCATTTTAATAGGGATGTTAATATGTTGCAGACATCTAGTAACTAACATTGGACTAAGGAAGTCGCTACTCCTAGTTTATAGAGTTGGGTTTTTTTGTGGTTTAGAAAGGAGAAATAGATATAAATTTGTTTTTAAATGTTTTTCAAGAGTGTATTGAAGTGTTTATACAGTAATTTGCATGAATTGACTTCTTTGCCATTAATGCTTGGTCAAGGTGTATCATTCTTTTAATACACTACTTGTGTTGTTGTTAACTGCTGTTGAGTCAGTTCCAACCCATAATGACCCTGTATAGAGTTTCCGAGGAGCGGCTGGTGAGCTTGAACAGCCGACCTTGTGGTTCAAAGTGACTTTGCAGTCCCGCACATTAACCCACAGCGCCACACCAATATTACGTTCAGCTTATTAAAGACTTTAAATTTGTGGCATCAACAACATTCAGAGCTGTTTATTTTCCTCACCAGTCCTTGAGAGTCTGGATAGAGGCTGAGCAGGTAGGGGGTTTGGCAAGTCTAGGGGTGGGCTGTGGCACTGTGAGCCGCATCAGAGGGCAAGGTGGCAAGAGGGTCGCAGTGAGCATGAATCATCTAGGCTGGAGGGGAAGAGGAGGAATTGTAAAGTCCAGAGCGCTCAGTGGGACTGAAGAGCTGGTACGATGAGGATAAGAGGAGAGCTGGATCCTGAAAAGCTAGGTAACGACAAGATACTGGGTGGGACCAGGGGAGAGTGAGGCATGAGTGGAGGTTACAGTCTGCCACTCATTCATTTATTCAACACATCATTTGAGTATGTAATATGTGGCAGGTACTGGGCTAATTAGGTGGTAGTGAGGTAACAGGGAACAAAACACGCCTTGCTTTCATGGGGCTTACAGTCCTTAAATTGATATTAAACTAATAATCACGTTTTTGTTAAGTGCTGTTGAGTCAGTTCTGACTCATAGCGACCCTGTATAGAGTTTCCGAGGAGTGACTGGTGGGTTTGAGCTGCCAATTTTGCAGCTTAAACTGACTAATCACTGGAATCATTGCTTTGGAAGTAAAGTATGTGAGGAGTGATGAGAGCATGATTCTTTTTTTTCTTTTTTCACAATTAATGGGTTTGAACCGCAAGGTTGGCTGTTCAGACTCACCAGCTGCTCCTCAGAAACCCTATACTGGGTTAATATGAGTCTCCACTGACTCAAGGGCACTTAACAAGAGTGGGGTTTCATAAGGAAGTAAACAGGGTATACCATTCAGGATCAGAGAGGACACAGTTCACCAGCTAGAACCGCCTTTGCTCTACCATACTGCAGGCATGCCTCACTCTTGTGGCTGGCTTCTCAGCCATGTGGTTTCTTCGTCTGTGCCCTGCTCAGGCAAACGTTACAAAGCACTTTTAATCCAGTCTGTGAATGCCCAAAGGGCACATTCTGAAAGCCAGTTTCCTGCCTTTAGGCACAGCTTTACTTAGTCCATAGGCCTAGAGCCCTTAGCTGCTCTGTCTCTCCATGCCTCTGCTATCATCTGGATCCATGTTCCATTCATGTTCTTCCTTCCTGATAGTCTTGGAATCATCTGTCATCTGTGAGATGGCTCCTTTTCAACCTAGCTAGATAGCAAAACTAACCAATCCCAGCCTTAGAGTTCTGTACACCTTATTTGCATCAAGGTTGGTGATTCAAGCTCACCAGGTGCTCCTTGGAAACCCTATACAGGGTCGCTGTGGGTCAAAATTGACTCGACGGCACTTAACAACAACAACCCAATCACTTGGTGGGAATTAAGAAAACATTGGATTGTTGATGTTGTTAGGTGCCTTTGAGTTGTTGGCCCTGTGCCAACATCACAATCATTGTGATTGTGTCATTGCTGCTACCATCATGCCAATCTATCTCATTGAGGGTCTTCCTCGTTGAGGGCATGATTCTTGATGTACATGGGTTTCAGGGAAGGCTTCCTTGAGAAACTGATAAGCTGTTATATGAGGGATAGCCAGGCAAAGAGGAAGTGAAAAAGTATTCCAGGCTAGGGAACAGCATCTCTAAAGGGTCCAAAGCAGGAAGGTTGTGGCCTTGTCCAGGAAGAGATTGCTCATTGCTAGTATATAGAAGCATAACTGATGTGATGTGTTGATTTTATCCTCTGTAACTTGCTGAATTTCTTTATTTGTTCTTGTAGCTTTAGGGTGGATTCTTTGGGGGTTTCTAGATATAGGATTATGCCATCTGTGAATATATCATGTTGAAGAATTCCCTTTCTATCCCTGGTTTAGTGAGGGGTTTCATTATGAAAATGTGTTGAATTTTGTCAAATGCCTTTTCTGCACCAATTGAGTTGATCATGTGGTGTATTACATTGATTTTCTTATATTGAACCACCCTTGCATTCCTAGTATAACTCCTACTTGGTTATGGCATATAATTCTTTGAGTTTCATTCAGTTTGCTAATAGTTTGTTGAGGATTTTTATATGTATGTTCGTAAGGAATGTTGGTCATTTTTCTTGTGTTTTTATCTGCTTTTGTTACCAGGGTAACAGTACTTCATAGAAAGAGTTAGGAAGTGTTCTCTTCTATTTTTGGGAAGCACTTGAAGGTTGATATTAATTCTTATTGAAATGTTTGGTAAAATTCCCTAGAAAAGCCATCTGGTCCTGGACTTTTCTCTGCTGGGAGGTTTTTGATTACTGATTCAATCTATTCATTTGTTATAGGTCTGTTCTAACTTTCTATTTTTGAGGTAGTTTTAAGTTAGGAATTTGCTCCTTTCATCTAGGTGCTATAATTTGTCAGCATATAGTTGTTCATGGTACTGTTATGATCCTTTTTATTTCTCTACGGTCAGTAACTTAAAGTTTCTCTCTTTTATCATTTGTGTCTTCTAGCTCGCTCGCTCGCTCGCTCTTTTTTTTTTTTTCCTTTTCCTAGCTAAAAGTTTGTTGATTTTTAAAACCATCTTTTCAGAGAACCTTCCCCCCCACCCCTTTGTTGATTCTCTTAATTGTTTTTCTATTCTTTATTTCATTTTACTTTGTTGTAATATTATTTGTGGGTGAAAGATGAGACTTTCTGCTTCCATGAATCGGAACCAACTCAAACTTGAGGGCACTTAACAACAACATCAACAACTACTAATCTTAATTATTCCCTTTCTTCCTATTGCTTTGTGTTCAATTTGCTTATCTTTTTTTCAAGGAATAAAGTCAAGTTATTGATTTGACATCTTTCTTCCTTTATAACGTAGGCATTTATATCTATAAAAGGAGCTCTGGTAGTTTAGAGGTTATGAGTGGGGCTGCTAACCTCAGGGTCAGCAGTTTGAAACTACCAGCTGTTCCCTGGGAGAAAGATGAGGCTTTCTGTTCCAGTAAAGATTTATAGCCTCAGAAACCCTATACAGGGTCACTATGAGTCAGAACCCAATCAAGGCACTTAACAACAACAACATACCTATTTTTTTTTAAGTTTTTATTGTGAATTGAGTGATAGTTTACATAGGAGAACATGAGCTTTATACTCATCCTATGGTATTTCGTTTCATTGCAATGATTGTAATCCCCTCCATGCATCATCATTCAACAGTATTTGCCTCTAGTCCCTCTGTTGTTTTGTTTTGTTTTTGTTTTTTGATGCACACCTAAACACTAAGGAATATACAATCATTCAAACACCCAAAGGGCATACCCTGCAAGCCTGCCCACCACCCACGGTGACCAGCATGCAGCCCCTCTCCCTCCATGAGTCTGGAGTCCCAGCCGCTCCATCTTTCCATATCATCATCTCTGCCTCTAGCTCTCTGAATATGGTCCCACACTCCGCTACCGCTCTTCTCCCTTGGTGGTCCCCAGGGTCAATATATCTTTTTATCGTGTCCATCTTTATTTCTTGTATAGATTTTGACTTAAAATCTGTTTTGTCTGATACTTGTTGTTGTGAAGAGCTGTTGAGTTGGTTCAGACTCATAATGACTCTGTATAGGGTTTCCAAGGACTAGCTGGTGAGTTTGAACCGCCGACCTTGTGACTCACAGTCCAGTGGTGTTCCTATAGCGCCACACCAGCCACCCCTAATATAAGCATCCCCTTCAGCTCTCTTTTGATGTTTGCATGGAGTACTTTTTGCATACTTCCACTTTCAGCTTCTTTTTT